AAGATGGAAATTCCCGTCCAGGTAAGTAAAAAAAAAAAAAAAAAAAAAAAAAAGGTATAAAACAAGGTAAAAGTGGAAGATGGAATTGAAATTCCATTTTCCATTGAATTTCAATGGTTATCAAACACTACCTTAGAGCATGTTCAGTTAAGTAAGCATGTTTAGATAGTGAAACAAGCTAGGATATGAAAACGGCTTGTGATTGAATAATAGATAGATTGTTTCGTGTTACTGGTAGGTGAGGGCTTGTTTGCAATTTCATTATAGTTAAGGGTGGTTATATTGATATTGAATTTTTTTCTTTCTTTTTTTTTTTACTGTACCATGTTTTAATTGTTCTGAACATATTTAATTTATTAGTTCCTGTCTGCTACAAAACGCTTAAATTGCAATAAGGTCTCTAATCTTTGTTCATTGTCTCATTTATACATTCAATTTCTTCATCGTATTTTGATCATACACCTTTTATTAATTAACAAATCTTGTCTGGATGATGGGACTCCCTACAAAAATTATGTTATGATGACCCAAAAAGACTTATTTGTGCCTCATATTTAAAATATGCACAACACAACAAACATAAGATTTCGACAAAATATGTCTCTCGTTTCAAAGCATGCTAATAGAATATTTGAAAAGCAACTATTGTCAAGGACGTGGTGTGTTAATTATTCAAAGATTAAGGATAAGAATATGATGAAAATATTTAGGGATAAGTGCAATAATGAGCAAAAATTGAAGAGCTCCACTACAGTTAAAATATCATACAGCTAAAGAAAAATATGGTGCAAATATAATTAATTAATTACCATTATTTGTTTTCCTTTTTCCTTGTTGAAACTAATATTCTCGGTCGAATTCTCAGTATTTAATTGGAAGTCTTGAAAGTGTTATTTTGTTGCATCAAACATGTTACTTTTTTTTTTATTTTATGTACAAAGTTTGCTTTTTCATGTAATACTTAGATTACTTTTAAAATAGTTCACTCTTTTAACGTACAATAAAAAAATTGTTTATTTAAAAACATATTTACCATAAGTAGATATTTAAAAGTAAGCCAAAATGAGAGTTTTGGAACTGGAAATTCGATTCTTAAAGTATCATTTTAATATTGCTTGTATAATTATTAAAGCCACGTGGACAAATGGGCAAGAAAATGTTTCTAAAACTAGTATTAAACTTTACTCAACATCTCCAAAAGCCTTCGTGATCATTTACACAATACAGCTAGATCTAGACATAACTCATCGATGTGGTTGAATGTCAATTGATGATAATTTAATCATACGTCACTTGAAAAATAACTACTTGTATAATGCATATAGCTCAATCGTTTAACAAAGTGGGAAATTCAGAAACGTTCTTGAAAATTCTAATCACCTTTTTTATGATGATTTAATCATACGTCACTTGAAAAATGACTACTTGTATAATGCATATAGCTCAATCGTCTAGCAAAGTGAAAAATTCGGAAATGTTCTTGAAAATCCTAATTGCCTTTTTAATGAAGGGGAAGGAATAGGTTGGAAAGGGAAACGAGGCCTTTATTTTTATTTTTGATTTGTTAAATATGACTAAAGACTATGCCCTTGTTTGAGCGTCATTTTGGTGGGAAAAATAAATTTTTGAATAGTATATTGATGTGAAATGTGTAGTTAAAAGATAATGAAAGGTTTTGAATTTGCATGTAATGTTATTTTATTGAAAAATAAGTGGTTAAAATTATGTCAAAATACTGTTGAAAAATTCATTTTCTCCAAAGAATGGAGATCAAACAAGGGCTAAAATGACAAATACTTACAAATCTTTATTTTTAATTAGTTCATGTTTGTCATTCTTTAAAAATTTAAATTATTTGCTACGCTACTGTTTTTCACCACATATCTACACAATAAAATATTTTATATATAATCGAATAAATATTCTTTACTTTTTAATTATACATTCTAAAAAAATATTATTTAATAATTCATTATTTTCAAATAAAATTTGTTGGAACAAAATTCAATGAAGAAGCCACTGTCAGCATGTGAAATCTGACAATCAGGCTGGGGAATAAATCTTTGAACAGTTTGACTGTCGCTGGAAAATCGGTTAAGAAAAACAGAGCCGCAGATTATCAAAAGTCAGTTTAGCCCCTGACCGATACCAATTAAAATTTAAATTTAAATTAAAATCAACAATTAATTTTAAAAAGATGTTATAAGTACATCAATTATTTACAATTTTTTTCACAGCACACACATATGCAAGTGGGTGGGGTTCGCGATTAAAATAATTGTGAACCCCACCTTTGTGAGACAGTTATGAAAAAAGCTGTCAAATAAATACTGTACAAACAGAAATTTTCTTAATTTTAATCATTTATTTTATGAGATTCACAATTTTTCAACCACACATTTCATCAACTTCTATCTGATTTTTTCATCTCCCATAAACAAGACTTAATGAAAAAAATTACAACCTCATATTATTATATAATATAAACTAAATCAGGTTTAATATCAACCACCCATATAATAAATTAGTAACTACTCTGCAAGAATAATATTAATAATTAGATGGAATAATTTATCGATACTCATTTTATGCTTAGACGTGTCATAACAATCCATTGGTGGATATGACACATTATCGATGCTTAGTACAAAATGAGTGTTGATGCTCGTTAGATCATTCGTTTAATAATTAAAACTTTTTATATAAAATATAACTTAATTGTTGGGTTTCAACTTAATGTTAGACTTATTGTTCGATGATGTCAGTGTGTCATTGTATTGCGAGTTGTGGGCATGTGGCTTTTGCTGTTTTATTTTTTGAGATAATGATAAAATGGTTCATAAAATTATCGTTTCCTCTGATTAATCAGGATTCGTCGATTATTTGTATTCCAATTATTTTTGCATTTCATATATTATGCTTTGTACTAAAAAATGAGAGGCATTCACTTGTTTCTTGATTTTCATTTTTAATATGGATACTGATGAAGTGCACAAGGGATTAGAGTTCATGGCAAAATGGGACCATCACAAGGCAAAAGTTGGCAAAAGGGGCAAATGATTTCATGATGACTTTGAGTTTGCTCGTTTTTGGCAAATCACTAGTCTAATTTGATTGGAGCCGAGCCAATGAATAAAACTCAGGGCCTTTGGCCCTGATGCAAGACCAATTTCGGGCAAAATCCATCGTTTAGGCCCTCGTTTAATCGTTTTTGCTATTTATGGTAATTTTCATTTTTGTAATATCTCTTTCCATGAAATTCGGATTTAGATTCCGTTTGTTGGAGGATGATCCCGAAAATAAGTATTTTCCATTTTAGTAATTATCTCATATTTTCTATTTTTGGAAAAAAAAATATCTTTTTTTTATTTTATTTTATTTTTCGGATTTTCCTAAGTTTTTTCTATTTAATCAGTTGTAAGCCCTTAGAGGCAGGAGTTCTTGAATTCAATAAAATCTTTCTTGAGAGTTTTCTCAATTTGTGATTGTTCATCTTCCCTATAATATTTCCGCTACGTCAGATACTTGAATGAATTGTAGGTGAAGCGAAATTGAGTGGATGATGAGGAGGCATCATTGAGGAGAAGGTGGGGACGGTGGAACTGAGATGCACTAATTTGGGGAAAAAGGGAAAAGGGTTGAAGTGAATGTTTGGTTACATAGGTGGAATTTATGTAGAGAGTAAAGCTGTTTTTACAGATAAAAATTACAAAAAGCATTATAATTGATGAGGTTATAACACTACATTGACTGGTTTAAAATTTATTTTCAATAAATGCTTGTCAGTTAATAACCCGTGAATTTTGTCAAAAATTTTTGTACACGTAACATTTTTCGTTATGTGGAAGGGCAATTTCTATTCGAACTTTGTTATATGTACAGAAATAATTTGACAGATCTATCTTTCGATATGTTCAAATTGATGGACAGATGCATGCAGGGTTGGACCCAGACACTTTGGATTATAGGGTCATAATCAAACTTTCAAAAATGAGTTTGAAATTGTCGGTTTCATAATATGCCCATGTTTGGCCCCCATTAATTTTTATTCAGTTACATTATATTTTTCTCTCTCCTATTTTCAAACATACAATTTTCTATAAAATAATATTACACGTAAATCGAAAACTTTTCATTGTTTTTCAATCACTCATTTTTTTCAAAAAAAAAAACTATTCCACCTATTTTTATTTCTACAAAATGAGGGTTAAACGAGAGCTATATTTAGGGCCTGTTTAGGCCCGATTTTTTCACCCAAAAAATTGATTTTTTGACCATTATTTCACTATTCCAGCTGTCATATTTGACTTTTTCTCTCACAGATGGACCTCACTTTTCTTCTAACGATCAAAAAATCAATTCTCAAAATTACTTCCAAACAGACTCATAGTGTAGGTTTTAAACTTTAACATTCTTTAAAAATAAAATAAAATAAAAAATTGGGGTTGACCCTATAGCCCCTCCCCCCGGGCCCCAATGAATCCGGGACATAACCGTATGAAAATGTCAGAAACTTAACAACAGCGTGACACGACAAAATAAAAAATAAAAAGTTTAGGCCTGTTCTTTTTACCGTTTTCGGGTCGTTTTCTGTTTTCGATTTTTCAAAACGGTGAAAACGTGTTCTCTTTCCCGTTTTCGAAAATGAATTTTCGAAAACGAAAAAAAATTTGTGAAGAAAACACAAAACGACTTTTTTGTCGTTTTGGGCGTTTTCAGTGTAAAACTTGGAAAAATCGAAAACGCGGGAAACACTTTTTTTTTCGGCCCCCCCCCCCGGGGGCCCCCTCGGGGCCCAATGAATCGGAGACATAACCGTATGAAAATGTCAGAAACTTAACAACAGCGTGACACGACAAAATAAAAAATAAAAAGTTTAAGTTTTGAATTTTCGAAAACACAAAAATATAGCCTCGTAAAAGTTTGTGAGCCCACACATTGATAAAGCATTAAAAAGTGCTGTACAAAAATCATGAACCTCAAATACATCTGGCCTCTGAGTTGCTATAATTTATGCTCTAGTCGAGAGAGAGAGAGTCCAGATTTCAGAGCAGATTATAAAAGACAGACAGCGAGAGATGGAGGGTCTGAGCCGGAGCATAGGGTGGTCCGCGGCGGCGTTTGTTTTGACATGCGCAGTGCTGGTGATGATGCCGGCGGAGGTGTCTGCAGTGCGTTACATCGTCGGAGCTAACATGGGTTGGAATTCAAATGTGAACTACACCATTTGGGCTCAAGGCAAACATTTCTATCTCGGCGATTGGCTCTGTATACTCTCTCTCTCTCTCTCTCTCTCTCACACATACGCGCACACATTCAGTTCAGATCTACATTTTTGAGCTTTTCTTAAACATTTTTCCGGTTGGTTTTGTCGAAAAAGGTGAATAGATGCCCTGCCTATAGGCTATAGAAATTTAACACCTATTAACACTATGAAATTGCAGCGAATTAAATGAGATTAGTGCAGCAGAGTGTTAATCATTTAATTATGTGTAACTGAATAGATACATAATACGAACAACTTAGTTTTTTAGTGCTTGTAAATGAGGGAAGACGAAGAAATGCAAACTTAATTTACATCTGATTCCATTTCCCTATTGGTCACTGTTTCTTTAGAAATTACCGATCCTTCTTTAAGGCAATTTTGCAGTCTATTTGAGATTATTTTCGATGATGTGCAGACTCAATAAAGTTTACTGAGCCCATAATTCTTTTATTGAGTAATGGGATTCAGCATTACTAGTTTTCCAGCATCGGTGTAGGTGACAACTACACAACATTAAATGATGGGTACACTTAAATGCAATGTCACACGATTCATTTAATTAAACATATTAACTGTTCTTGCCTAGAGTGGTTCTTTAGGACCAATGATGCTAGACAACATTATTATTTTGTTTTATAATCACTGTTTAGGATTATCTAACTTGTGCACGTTAATTCTTTAAATAGTATGTCACACTCACATAATGTAAAAGACTAAATATTGGGCTGTCATCTAACACAAGAAATATTACACCGTCGAACAATTGGCTATCCATGGTTAATTTTGGACTCATTAGACATGTTAGTTTAGCAAAATGATTAATTCCCAATCTAATTACTAAAGAAATAACAATAAAAAAAAAAAGGCACTCAAACACATTTGACAGCTATATTCATTTGCCCGCTACAAGTTTTCACTATAAAGAAGAAGATTATTACAGTGGTGATCTCACACCTTTTAGTGTGTGTCTCTCAGAAAAATGCACCCTAAGAAAATTCTTTATATGTGCATCAGTATTTGCTCCATAGTTCAACACTAGTCATTGTTAAGATATGTCTTTCTTATGGCACTTCAGGTTACTTTTGTTCTTTTATTATAAATTTGCACTACTTGTATATGTCTTGTTTTTCTTTTTGATCGGTTTGGCCATGTCTGCTAGTTTAGATTGGGAAGACTTTCGAGCTTTTTTTTCTTCACATAGGCTTGAACATTGTGTTTAGCATCTAGTAACTCGCCTTTTCGTTCTAGTCTTCGTGTATGATAGGAACCAGATGAATGTGCTTGAGGTAAACAAGACAGATTACGAGAATTGCACTTCTGATCATCCCATTCACAATTGGACCACCGGTGCTGGAAGGGATGTGGTTCCTCTCAATGTTACAAAAACTTATTATTTCATCAGCGGAAAAGGATTCTGCTATGGAGGCATGAAAGTAGCAATTCACGTTGAAAAACTACCGCCCCCACCATCGTCTTTGCCGGAAAGGAGTGGTTCTCCGGGTTTGCTATCTACTTTTAGAGGGCAGATTTTCGTGCCGACTCTTTTTGCCATTGCTGCTGTATGGGACTCGTTTCTCTACCTCGGATAGCAGTTTCTTGCCATCTTTCATGAGATATCGGCATATTTGATCGTTTGAACAATTACTTAAACCCATGCCGGAAAGGAGTGGTTCTCCGGGTTTGCTATCTACTTTTAGAGGGCAGATTTTCGTGCCGACTCTTTTTGCCATTGCTGCTGTATGGGACTCGTTTCTCTACATCGGGTAGCAGTTTCTTGCCATCTTTCATGAGATATCAGCATATTTGATCGTTTGAACAATTACTTAAACCCCTAGCAGTTTCTTGCCATCTTTCATGAGATATCGGCATATTTGATCGTTTGAACAATTACTTAAACCCAATGGTGAAGAAATATTGAGGAGTGTCTTATTTGTTTATCGGTTTTCTTCTTTTCTTGTTCATCTTTCGTGGTTTGATTTTGACCCGAAAGATAAAACAGTTATTCAGCTCAAAATTGGTGGATTGCGGCAAGTGTTTAAAGCTATTTATTCTACCAATTTCAAGAAACTCTTTATTTGAGAATTCAAGTGAGTAAATTGCAGAAATGAATGTGTTTCGTGAGCTGGCTATCCATTGAAAACTATGCGAGAGACAGAGATAATCAAACGGATAAGAACAGCGTATTTTATATGAGTTGGGATTTTTGCTGTTTAAATGGTTGTCCATTCAATTCAATGAATTATTGATATCATCAATAATTAATATTTCATCTCAAATTTACTTTCATTAATTTCACCACTAACTAATTAAATTAATGACATGTTATTAATGTATTGGACGGACAGTGATTTGAATGGCAAAATTAAATAGCAGAGCTCATTTCATTTCATTTTACAATCCTGCTTGACGTAGAAAACAGGTTCTTGTTAGGATACGCACAGTGGGGACCGCTGCAAT